TTCCTGGGTTCGAGCCCCGCATCGGGCTCTGTGCTGACAGCTCGGAGCCTGGAGCCTGTTTTAGATTCTGTGTCCTCCTCTGTCTCTCTTTCCCTCCCCCACTCGCGCACTGTCTCTCTCTCTCTCAAAAATAAACACTTAAAAAAAACACTTTTTTTTAAAAAAAAGAGTCGGACACTCAGCCAACTGAGCTACCCAGGTGCCCCCTGGCTGTTTTTAACCTCACAAATAAAATATTAAGATGTTCTCATTATGGGGCTCCTGGCTGGCTCAGTCAGTAGAGCATGTGACCCTTGATCTTGGGGTGGTGAGTTTGAGCCCCACGTTGGCCATTCAGTTTATCTAATTAAAAAAAAAAAAAAAAAGATGTTCTGGGTGCCTGGGTGGCTCAGTCGGTTAAGCGTCCAACTTCGGCTCAGGTCATGATCTCACTGTTTGAGAGTTCGAGCCCTGCGTCGGGCTCTGTGCTGACAGCTTGGAGCCTGGAGCCTGCTTCGGGATTCCGTGTCTCCCTCTCTCTCTGCCCCTCCGCCCCCTCTCAGAAACAAATAAACATTAAAAAAAAAAAAAAAAAAAGATGTTCTCACTGTAAAACACACAAAAGTCAAACAACAGTCCTCAAGCACCGACACACGGGTGCTCCGATGTGCCCCAGCCTCGAGCCACGTGGTCTAGACGGACACAGAGAGAGCGTGGCAATCGCCTGTCACGCCGTCTGCCTCTGCACCTTCCCCCTCACCTATAAACGTGCTCAGGTCTCCCTAACTTACAGAGACACAAATTTCCTTTGGCCTCACCACTTCCTCAGCTCACCACGCTTCCTCACCACGCTTTTCTCGGCTTCTTCACACCCACTCACTGGTTAATCCCTCTTGCTTTGGCTTCCCTGCCCGCTTGTTGCCCCCCGCCCCCCCCCCGCACTGCTCTCCAAAAGCCACTGCTGTCCCCAGCAAGCGCACCCCGGGCTTTGGTCCGGCCTCCCCCATCCCTTCCAGTACCGCCCCGCTGACCCTGCCGACCAGCCCCCTCCGTCTAAGAGCTGCTCTTGCCCTTCTTCCACCTCGGCCTCTTTGCAGTTCCCCTCTCAGTCTCCTCTCGGCTGCAGGATCCTGTTATTCCTGTTATCGGTTTACACCCCTCGGAATGTCACGTGGCTGATCCGTTCTCAATAAATATCTGTGGACAGGAAGTTCTCTGAGCTGCTTGTGTCCTTTTGTTTACGGGAGGAGACAGGGACCGGTGTCTCAGCCCCCCTGGGAGGCTTGTCGAGCACGTGAAAGTGTGCACGACCTTGATCTGTCTGATTTTTCCGCCCGCCGTGCGGGATGCGACCAGAAGGCTTCGAGGAATAGTTTCCTGAGTTTCTTGATGTTCACCGAGCTTACTGTTACTTTCACACTTAGCTAAGTAACCTTTGATACTGTGTGGTTATAACATAATAACCACATGTGTCTTTGTCTTCTCTGTCAAGGGTGAAAGATTGGAAGGGCTTTAACCGCTGGTAAAAGTGTCTTCTCACATCAACCACATCGCACCGAATATTATGTGAACCAGATGGCTATTTTCACCAAGCGGGTTGGGTACAGATTACAAGCAGACTATAAATTTGCCTGAGCTCTGCTGAGCGTGGTAGCCAAAAACATTATTCTGGGGGGGGGGGGGGGGCGCCTGGGTGGCTCCGTCGGTCACCAGTCCGACTTCAGCTCAGGTCGTGATCTCGCGGTTCATGGGTTCGAGCCCCGCGGCGGGCTCTGTGCTGACAGCTCGGAGCCTGGAGACTGCTTCAGATCTGTGTCTCCCTCTCTCTACCCTTCCCCCGCCTCATGCTCTCTCAAAACTAAATAAATGTTAAAAAAAAAAAAAAACACATTATTCTGGAAAGTGAAGTCTCCTCTGTTGATCCCTTTCCTAAAGTTCTACCTTCCCCAAGTGACCCATCAGCCCAGGCCACCTCCGCACCTGACTCCGGGCCCCATGCCGACCGCATGCCTCCTGGGCACCTTCTCAGGGGCCCCTCCCTTTCCAGAAGACAGCGGCACTCTTCGGGGGGGCCTCCTGTTCACACACCACATGCTCTGGGGTTGCTCCCTGGAGAATGTTAATTCAGACCGCGAGTTCCAAAACTGTGATTTGCAGAGCTCTGTGGATCTTGGCATTGTAAATTATAATCGTGGACATGTATGACATCTACTACATTTCCTGTGATCTAGTTATTTTATTCTGTGACATTTGTTTTTTTAAAACCTTTCCTCGGCGGCCCGGTGTATGACATATTCATTTCTCAGTGGAGACCATTGCGGTCTCTTGGTATATTTTCTCTTCTTATCAGCTCCAGTGACCTTTGACCCGCAGGTAGGACGAGGCCCAGTTTGTATATGACATCACTGGGTTGTTGGCATGCTCAGGCCCAAAGTGACAATGGAGTCTCCCCAGGCCTTGGGACTCCCTGAGGGGGTCAGAGCCTCCAGCACTGATTTGGAACCATTTTATATACGGGTCCTGATCTGGTTTCCGATTCAGATTAAGGGCAAAATAGCTTTAGAGTTAAAACTCCCTCTCATTGAGGTTCTCTGAAAGGTGGACTTTGACTCGTGGAACGTATAGATTGATCTGCTGTCTCGACAATCATTGACAAAGCATTTTGCAACCCTATTTTAAGGTCTTAGATTTGACATACAGTATTTTTTTTCTTTTTTGCTGCTTGATTGAGGTACAGTTGATATACATTATGCTATGCATGTGTCAAATGTACATTTTCATGAGTTTTTTTACATATATGAAACACCACCACAATCAAAGTTTTGATCACCCCCTTCCTCATTGTGAACAATTTTGAAATAAAGGATGTTAAGGGAGACTCTGGGTGGCTCATTCGGTTGAGTCTGACTCTTGATTTTGGCTCAGGTCATGACCTTGAGGTTGTGGAATTGAGCCCCATGTCGGGCTCTGCACGGACAGTGAGGAGCCTGTGTGGGATTCTCTCTCTCTTCCTCTCTCTCTCTCTCTCTCTCTGCCCTTGCCCTGCTCGTTCTCTCTCTCCCTCAAACATAAATAAATAAACATTTAAAAACTACAATAAAGGATGTCAAGATTATAAGGAAAGTAAAAATTCCCTCCCTTGGCAAAGCTCTTGTTTGTAAGGGACAAATCCAGTTTTTTCGTCTTTTCGATTTGGTTTATTTTTAAAATCCAAGCAATACTAGAAGGTCTAGATTTCAACACTACCAACAGGATAATACACGATTAATTCTACACTTTTTGGAATCCTGAATCTGCCATTTCAAAAAAGAATCCTGGAGTAGATCCCGGAACAGAGAAAAGACATTTACATGGAAACTGGTGAAATCCAAACAAAGTTTGGGGTTTAGGGGATATTAAGATACCAGTGTTGATTTCTGGGTTTTGACAAATGTCCTTGGTAATGTAAGAACCTCAGGAAAACTGAAACAGGGTGGGGAGCATACAGAACTCTCTGTACTATCTTTGTGCCTCGTCTGTAAATCTAAAATTGTCCAAAATATAAACTTTACAGACCAAAAAAAAAAAAAAAAAGACTAATGGCAATTAGATACTAAAGGAAAACATGTTTTATCGTAGGTGCTGTTTGTTTTTTAAGTCTGTTTGTTTGTTTGTTTATTCCTTTTGAGAAAGAGAGGGAGAGGGAGACGAAGCACAAGCAGGGGAGGGGCAGAGAGGGAGAGAGAGAGAATCCCAAGCAGGCTCTGTACTGGCCTGATGCAGGGCTCGAACCCACAAACTGTGAGACCCTGACCTGAGCCCAGATCAAGAGTAGGACGCTTAACCGACTGAGCCACCCAGACGCCACTTTAGGTGCTGTTTTACACAAAAGATTTTATTATACCTCCACAGGGCACCTGGGTGGCTCAGTAAGTTAAGCGTCTGACTTCAGCTCAGGTCATGATCTCGCTGTCCAGGAGTTCAAGCCCAGTGTTGGGCTCTGTGCTGACAGCTCGGAGCCTGGAGCCTGTTTGGGATTCTGTGTCCCCCTCTCTCTCTGCCCCACCCCTCCTTGTGCTCTGTCTCTCTCTGTCTTTCAAAAATGAAAAACATAAAAAAAAAAAGATTTTATTATACGTCCAAAAACTGAGCAAGCAACAGCTATTATATTGCAGTTTTTTGTGGGTTTTTTTGGTTGTTGTTGTTGTTGTTGTTGTTTTAAATAACAACAAAGCAGGGGCTCCTGAGTGGCTCTGTTGGTTGACCAATAGGTCCTGATTTCCACCCAGGTCATGATCTCATGGTTTGTGAGATCCAGCCCCCCACTGGCTCTGTGCCAACAGTGTGGTGCTTGCTAAGGATTCTCTTTCCCTCTCTCTCTGCCCCTCCCCACTCAAAAGAAATAAGTAAACATTAAAAAAAGAAAAGTAACAACAAAGCACATTTCACTTTCTAGTCATACTTTTCCCTCCTAGTTGGTATTACCATCATTTCTTATTCTTTTCCATTGTCCCCTGTGTGGTCCTTTACCTACCAACGACAAACCATTTCTAAAAGCAAGGTTGTGCAGAAGCTTTGCATTTTGATTCTTAGAAATGAGACCGATCTGCTTTCAAGTGAAGGACTAAAGAGGAATTTAATTCGCGGAATAGAAACAGTCTCTTCTGTTTTGCGTTTGCCGAGATGTCAATGTTGTTTCTTTGGAGGGTGGGAGGTGGGGGTGGGGAACGTTTGCAGAAAAAGGTCAAGAACAAGGGCCCTCCCTTCCCCTGGCCCCAGGCCGCACTGGGTGGAGCCACGTCCCTGAGTGGCAGGAGGCTGAAGGTAGTATCTAATTGCCATTGCCAGGAAGGATCTGGAGCCCAGGCTGATCCACCCCCTTCGAGTGGATTGATGAGCATCTCAGCTGTGCTCACAGCAGGTTCAATGCCTGAGGGCCCTTCCCCCGGTTCCTGGTCTTGGTCCAAACTCTAGCCAGCCCTGGAAAGTTGGACAGGTAACTGGACTTGATTTCATTGACGTAGCAAAAAAATGATTCGCTACCACAACTGTTCTCGCTGTTCTGATTTTGTAATAATCAGGGCAGGCTAAACATTCTCTATATAAGACCGTGCATGTGTCCTCAGACCTAGTTCTTTCTCTAGCTCTGGTGTTATCAATGCTGGTGATAAACCAAGTCTGATTTACACAAAGCATCTCATGTAGGAAATGTCTAGGACTCTTAGGTCTCTGATTCTCTTTGAGAAATGACAGCAAAGCTAGTGTGATAACTTTTGAAGATTAGATTCATTGCTAATTCAATGAATGGTGAAACTAAAGAAAAACAAAAACAAAAACCAAAAAAACTGATTCCATAGTTCTTGTTTCTGCGTATTGTGAAGTCAAAGCACGGGGGTGCCCACCTTTTTTAAAGGTACACTTTCTTGGGGTGCCTGAATGTCCCAGTCGGTTAAACGTCCAATTTCCGCTCAGGTCACGATCTCACAGTTCAGTGTGTGGGGGCAAGCCCTGCATCGGCTCCCCCCTGACAGTGTGGAAGGAAGCCTGCTTGGGATTCGCTCTCTTTCCCTCTCTCTCTGCCACTGCCCCACTAGCACTTTCTCTCTCTCTCTCTCTCTCTCAAGTAAATAAATAAACTTAAAAGAAAAGATACACCTTCTGCGGATGAAAACATGTATCTGGGTCAGGAAATGCAGCATATTTCCAGTAATCAGTTTTGCCCATTCGTCTGGCTTCCTTTTCAAATGACTTTTTGTTTCTTTGTTTTTTGGTTTGTAATGATTAAATTATTAAAGTATGGGGGGGGGGTGTTGAAGTTTAAATGTAGCTACAATGCTTTGTTCCAGGCTGTATCTAAAGCAATGCCTGGCACATAAGTGAGTGTTCAATAAATACTGGCTGAAAAAAATATTTGTTGAGGGGTAAAAAGTAAATGTATTCACCTCTTTCAATCCTTGGAGAAGTCAAATTTAGGTGTTGGATGTATTTCCTAGAATAACCTTCATTTGAGTCAAAGTGCTTTAGGACTGACTCACTTTTTAAAAACATTTTTTTCATGTTTATTTGTTTTTGAGAGAGAGCATGGGCAGGGGAGGGGCAGAGAGAGAGGGAGACACAGAATTGGAAGCAGGCTCCAGGCTCCCAGCTGTCAGCACAGAGCCCGACACAGGGCTTGAACTCATGGACTGCAGGATCATGACCTGAGCTGAAGTCGGACGTTTAACCGACGGAGCCACCCAGCCGCCCCAGGACTAAAGCAATATGAGTGACGTCCGTTTGAGAAACAAAGAGTGTCTCTGGGTCTGAGATGGTCCAGGGAGGTTCTGGGGCTTCCTCTGCATAGATCCCCCTGTACCACTTGCAGGGGTGAGTGAGGAAGTATTTGCAGCTCTCCCCAGGGTCCTGGGTATTTATTTGACTGGGACAATGCCAGCAGGTGACAGTGCCCTCCCGACTGCATGTCTGGGGAAGGTCAAGGCAGGGCAGGAGGCTCCCCCAAGTCAGGGGTGGGGATGGAACTCCCTCAGGCAGGTCAGAAGAAACTGCCCCGTGGTGAACACTTCCCAAATCCCTCCATCCAGGGCTTCCCTCGATCTAGTGACTTTAAAAAGCTGTGTGAGTCAGTACTTCTTGGGCACAGCCAAAGGGCCACCTCAGTTCCTGCCAGGGCTTCCCCACTTTCCACACGGAGGGCCCAGTCCAGTCACCTCGGGACCTAACACTAGCACCAGTACAGAAGAGAGAGAGAGAGAAGGGCTCCTACAGAATCCACGACTGCAGACCCAAGGAGAGCGTCCCGGGACAGAATCCAGTCTGACTCATCAACCTCTCAGTAGCACATCCAGCATGGTCTGAGATACGAGATGCTGCGTTCGTTGGGTGGCCTTGGTGTCCTCTGTTACTTCCATTAAAATGCAAACTCCACAAGTTTCTTGTGTTCAAAACAGGGCCCAGTGTGGAGTAGAAGCTCAATAAACATGTGTTAAATGAACCAGAGAGGGAAGAAAAGAAGGAAGGAAGGGAGGAAGGAAGGAAGGAAGGGAGGGAGGAAGGGAGGGAGGAAGGGAGGAAGGGAGGGAGGGAGGAAGGAAGGAAGGGAGGGAGGAAGGGAGGGAGGGAGGGAGGGAGGGAGGGAGGAAGGGAGGAAGGAAGGGAGGGAGGGAGGAAGGGAGG